AAAACAAATCCAAAACTATGTTTTTAGTCGGGCTGGAAAACTTCATAAATTAACTAACCATCGAAATGAATGTAACACAAAGTATGAATTTCGGACGTATGTAATACATACCATGTATGGCACTTGTCTATTAATAGATCTAGACGAGGTTAAAATGGAGTGAGGCTCCGTGCTTGGATTTACCACTCAAAATGACTGATATCATTTTGAGTGACGCTTTGACGCTGATTATCTCTGGGTACGAAGTTCAAAAGTGTTTTTCGCATTCACTATTGTGAAATTTTATTTACAATAAGGAAAAGTATCGCGTCAAGACTTTGGGACGGCAAAACGCTTTAAAGCTTGACTTGAAGACTAAATTCAAAAGTCGTGACGCGATATTTTTCCTTATTGTAAATAAATTTTCACAATAGTGAATGCGAAAAACACTTTTGAACTTCATTCCCAGAGATAATCAGCGTCAAAGCGTCACTCAAAATGATATCAGTCATTTTGAGTGCTAAATCCACGCACAGGAGCGTCACTCCATTTTAACCTCGTCTAGAGGTTTCTCATCTGATATCACTAATTTTGTAAGGCAATTGACGCTGTGAGAATGAAAATGGCAATACAGGAATAAAAATTCTGAAACGAAACATAAAAAAGCAAACACGCAAAAGTGAATCATGGATGTTTGAGCAGCAGCAGTGAACCGAGAGTATCGGTACGTGTGCGTAAATTCATGATTCGCTTCAACACTGCGCTCATTCAAGATTCACTTTTGAGAATTTTCTTTCTTAGCGGCTTAATATTCATAACGCACTGGCACTGGACTCAATGATGTCAACAATACAAATCAATTGTTCTAATTTGCGTTGGTATTGGTAGTCTCCACTGACACGGTACCAGCGTGCTATGAATATTTGCTGTTGTGCGAACAGCACAGATGCTCCCACTCTCTCTGATGCGTTGTGATTTTGCAATGTTTGTTTGTTGTCGCATTTCTTCTGTGTTATTTTCCATACGCTACGGTTTCAGTGATGTTGTCATTTCACTCATGTACATTCATTCTAATGCTGTTCGTTCATGTCAATGCCGTATAATAAGTGGAGCTCGTTTACGTGCTGACACTTATGCACCCCTGTTATTCTTCGTCCAGAGAACTTAATATTTTTAACCATTTATGCGAGCATACTCTATTTTTTTCAAAAACCAATTCGTTCAATTGAAGTATCGGGCGCCGCCAAATGTACAAATGATTAGTTCACCAATTTGAACAAACATTCAACAACCAAAGTCAGAAAAACATACTCCTGTTTATTGGTATTCCAAACTAACAAAATACATACTCTTGTTTAACGCAAATCAAGGTCTACGATTTGAAATAATATATTTTGTCTGGATTGAATTAAAACTACGGTGAGTTTGGAAATGAATAACTTTTTTTTTTTAAACTGACTCATGAAACGAAAACATACAAATGCGCAACGTAACAAAAATATTTACTGAAGTGCCGCTAAGAAAGAAAATTCTCAAAAGTGAATCTTGAATGGGCGCTGTGTTGAAGCAAATCATAAATTTACTCGCACGTACCGATACTCATGGTTCACTGCTGCTGCTCAAACATTCATGATTCACTTTTGCGTTTTATGTTTCGTTCCAGAATGTTTATTCCTGTATTGCCATTTTCATTCTCACAGCCTCAATTATTCTCGGAAAAAATACACTTTTGCCAGAAATATGTCTATTCTAAGGTCATTGGGAAATTGTAATTTTTCGGGTAAAACATCACAGTGGAACAAAGTGAAGGTGACCAAATGTGATTTTGGTTTTGGCTATGCCAAATGATAATTTAGGTC